TAACGCAGGAGTATTATTATTTTTCAGTGAAAGAGGTTTTAATAAGAATAAATGGAGCGCAACTTTTCTACTTCTGTTATTTGCTGTTGTTTCTAAAAAAAAAATACAAAACGATATTACAGCTTTCATTGATTTATTTCAAATGTGAAACATTGTCTAGCCTGTAAAGTGTTAAAAAAAAAAAATGAACCAATTAATCAAATCATATCGTGGTGTATTCTTGAGTACTGAAAATAATCGAATCGTTGGATCAGTAAATCGATACTGAATCGAATCGCCATGATGGGTGATTTACACCCCTAGTGGAGGAACCCGTGAAGGATCCACTCTGTCAGGTTAGAAATGAAAGCTGGTATTACGCTACAGTTCCTTGTAATAGTATGAAACTTGCACAGTTTAGAGAAACACAGAATCAGCATCTATTCAACCTTCTGCTGTGACCGACTCACATCACTCCTGCAGTCAACATCTCTGAACTTGTCCAGGTGGGCCCTGACAGCAGCCAGGTTCTCCTCCTCCACGTAGCTGAACAGACTCTGGACGGCCAGAGAGGTCATCTTCAGGGAGGCGGTGGTATCCATGGCAACCTGTTAAACACGTCCAAGCCACTGAAAAAAAAAAAGACATGTCCAACAGGTGCTGATATTGTGCTGTAGTAGCTGCACTGTTACATTCATATACATGTATTTTTTTTACTTTATGCCATTTTCAGTTATTTTAAAATGTTTCAATCTTTTTTTTAATTCCAAATATTTATTTATTTTGAAATTTAGTTTAAATTCAGTTTATTTATATAGCACCAATTCACCAGTCTCATCCAGTCTGATTGATTCAAAGTTTTCTATCTAAGGAAAACTAGTTGATTGCATCAACTTAATGACTCAAAGCCAATCCCTCACACTAAGCATGCTTGTAGCGACAGTGGAGAGGAAAAACTCCCATTTAACAAGAAGAAACCTCCAGCAGAACCAGGCTCAGTGTGAGCGGCCATCTGCTGAGCCCCACTGGGGTTCAAGGAGACAGAAGCAGAGATAAAAGTATCTTTTAGATTAAACAACCAATCAAAAACTGTAATCAGAATCAGAAATACTTTAATAATCAATAGATTAATTGATTAGTAAAATAACCCGTAGGTGCAGCCCTAAATAAAAAGACTCCTTTCAGGACAGTGCAAAAGTATTCACACCCCTTTAATATTCCTATAGGTCAGCTTCCAGGAGATTGTGGTGACAGACCAACTCAAATCCCTGCGTAGGTAGCAGTTAGAGGGAAAGCCGTGTTTCCAGGATGTTCATTGCCTGTGCTCCATGTGGGCTCCCTCATGTTTCTGTGTCCTCTATAAACAACAAACAGCCCATATGCTGCCGTTCTCTCAAAAGCCTTTCTACCTCCATGACTTACAGCCGTCCTGTTGGCAAACGCTCCTTCCTGCACTCAGGATCTCTGCAGATCGTTCCACTCGATGTTATACATTTTAAAAAGCAAGAACGCTTTCCTTCCACTTCTGCTCTGCTTTGTGGTATTTTGTCACAAAGACTCGGACAGCGTAGAGTGAAGTTTGTCTTCATTTGACAATATGTGAAAAAGTTTTCCTTCTGCAAACAAAAGCAGAAAGTCAAACTGGCCTCATTAGCAGAGAGCTAACAGGGGGTTGTTAGCTGCTCTGCTTTATCCAGTCGGTTCTGCTCGGGCTCAGAGGCTGATATGAAGTTTGCTTACTCTGTATAACGAAGCTCCTGCAGACGGGGCGACCCATTCAGGGTGGTTAAATAAGTCCCTGAATGCTAAAGAAGCAGAATAACCGTCCCTCGGCTTCTATATTTTGAAACAGCAATGATTCTTTGAAGGCGCAGTGGACCGAGCGCTCCGGTTAGAGCAGCTTCTGCTGCCAAAATCTGGACCCTATGAACTTTGTGCATTCAATAGAAACGGAGCTGTGTGCAAAAACTGCTTAGCAGCTGATCCTTACTGACCGGTAGTTGAAAGGACAGAAAGAAAGAAGTGAGTTTATTGCTGAGCAGCTGCCTGTGTCATAAATCTTTGCACAAGGATCTAAAATAATGGTAAAGGAGCACTTTACACTTTACACAATGATGGTGGCAAACTACACTGTAGCCACAGCTGCCCTGGCACCGACAGATGCAAGGCTGTCGTACAGTGGCGCCACCGGGCCCTCCGCCCAACATCAGTAGACAATTTGTGTGATCCGTCTTGCCCGAGGACAGAACGACACTGAAAGCCGGAGCCAGGGCTTCAACCGTCAACCCTTCAATTTCAGGGCAAACTCCTACATCCGACGCCACTGCCTCCCTAAAATAGCACCAATTTATATCAGTTTTTAAACTCTGCATGGATGCATCTACCAACAGTCTGGACATTGATGCAGTTTTGACTCCTTCCTGCCAGAGTTAAAGCAGAAGCTGGGTTTGCTCTAGGATTTTGACTGGAGGGCTAACTGTGTGTGTATATCAGAAACAAACCTGTAATAATTGATTGATTACTGTCGTTAAAATGCTGTAGAAATGCAACATGCTTTAACCTTACTCTATGTGTACATTTTGCCTGAATCCACTCTGCATACATCTAATTGAGCAAAAGGACGGTAATCAGAGGCACATTCGTTATTCTGTGTGGAAAGAAGGTAGTTATTTTAGTGCAACAGTTTGAGAGGAAAAAAAGAGAGACTAGATTAGCAACTATATTTAAAATATATTTATATCCTGCTGAATCATCAGCCGCTTTGTTCATCTGTTTGTTCTACATGGTATTTGGAAAACGGAGCAGCTCTCCTGTCTGCTCTCTTCTCTCTGACTGCATGCAAAGCTTTAAGGGACGAGGTCGCTGCCTGGAAGACAGCGCTGAGGGAAGCAGGGAGGGCCTGACGGCTTTTACGTGAATTCCCTAAACTCTTACCTTGCAAGCAAGATGAACCTTAGTGAGATTTGTGAATTCACAAACTCCCAAAAATATGGCTGATAGCCAAACCGGCCCCTTAACTATCGGGTGTCACTTTCAAAAAAGTCGCACTCAGCTGCGTATAAACAAGAACGGTACAGTCTTTTCCCTCCGACGGAAAAGGAAAGAAGCCGTTGCTATGGCAACACAGTGACGCCACATGTGCATGGCTGTAGCTCTTTGGAACAGGTTGACATGAAATCAAATATTTGCCCCTTTCTTCAAAATAAATGTATGCGCTTGAATCAAACTATTTCACAGAGGACCTTCCCTTTAGGGACTAATGATCTTTTTTTGGGGTATTTTTTCTCGTAACTTGTGATTTTCTCTCCATGTGACAACTATGCAGCAAACTAGTAAAACTATTAAAAAAAATATTTGCGTGAACGCGTTTCCTCCGCTATGAATTAGCCGCACTGATGCAGGCTCGCTATTCAAGTCGTAGGCACGCGGCCATGAATAAAGTGAATTTGATTGGTCGTTTTTCAAGGGGGCGGGATTGTTGTGGCGGAAGGTTCGCAAGCAAGTTTAATTGTGGCCGGTTTCTCTGAAGCATCTTGCTAACCAGTTAGCAACTTAGTGCTAGTAGTTTCCCAATGGGATATTCCATTGGGACCAAGTAGCACTACATTGGCGACTTAGAAACGATACTGTCAAGGAACGCTATGGACAGCGGAAACATGCAAGAGGAGGAGAGTTTAGTGTCGGAGGTCGTGGATGAGTCTCCTCTAGGGATGGGAATCGAAAACCGGTTCCTGTTAAGAACCGGTTCTGTATTTTCCGATTCCATGGCATCGTTTGGCAGCTCGCTGAACGATTCTTTTTTCGATTCCCGCAGCACCAGAGCCTAGAGCGCCGGCTCTGGGGAGCACGACTTACGTCACGTTTTTTACGTAAGTTACGTAAGTTACGCAAGTTACGCAAGTTACGCAAGTTACGCAAGTTGG